CGCTGAGCTCTGGGCTGTGGGTGCTGGGGCTGCTAGGGAGACATTTTCCTGTTATTCTCACACATGGTCTTTGTAAATGCACCAAGATTAGAAAAGGGAACTGGCTGAGCCATGCTCCACGTTAACCCCTTGGACTGCTGGAGGAAATGGTGCAAACAGGAGAGCTGAAACATGGATGCCCCTCCCGAGATCACCTGGCCAGGGGAACCCCACGCCCTGGGGCGGGCTCTGTGCACTGCCAGGCAGGACTGTAAGAACTGAAGCAGCTAAAGGCACAAAGGGACAGAGACGCAGATTGGAAGCTCCTTGCAGCAAGGCCCACATTTTTGTTACCTGTGTGTGCAGCACCTGGCCCAGTGGGGCCCCGATCCCTGACGGGGGCCTCAAGGTGCTCCAGCAAGACGCACAGTCAATAACACCAAACAGACCACATCCTGGTCAGCTGTGGCACAAGTGAACGTTGCACTTGCAGACTGGAGCGTAACTTGGGGGACGCAGCTGTGATGTGCTGCCTCTGTTGGGGGGGAGGGGGAGGAAGGGGAAGCAGAAAGGCCAATTTCTGATTGCCGTTGCCCTGTTTTCCCTCTGCTCACGCGTGGAAGCAGGGCGCAAGAGCTACCAGGAGGCTGGTCTGGGGGGTGCGAGAGCCAGGGATAACCAGCAGCCCCACTCCGCACCAAAGCGCAGGAGAACTGCAGGGTCACGCCAGGGCTGCATGGAGCTTGGGCTGAAAGTTTCCCAGCAGCGCACTAGTGCCCGGGCAGCTCCAACAGTGGGAGCGCGAGCATATAGGCCCCAGGCGTTTTAGCCATGGCGTGATCTATCCCCACGCGGAGCCCACGTTGTGCTGGAAATGCTGACAGCTGCTTGGGCCCAACCTCCCAGGTCCAACCACTGGACCACGCTGCCTCACACAGATTCATTGGCCAAGAGTGAGTGAGCTCTGCTGATGAAGTGCCCAAACCTGTTCCCACAGGAGCTTTTGCCACTGAATTCAGTGGGAGCAGGCGCAGGCCCATAGGGCCTGGGGTAAGAAACCCTCTGCAAATGGGGGACGGCTCTGGCTCTTTGCTGAGCAGGAAGTTGATTTGCAGGGTGGGAACTTCCTTTTGTGAAATGCAAATTACTCCACATCTGTGGCTCTGATGTAATGATCTCTTTGCTTATCAGCCACCATGGGAGACCTCAGCCGGTGGAGAGGAGATGGCCAGCTACTTACCCACCCTGACTTGTTATCTTGAGTGGAAGGGGCCCTCTGGCACAGCAGTAACTCATTTCAGATCAGTAGAGTCCCTGATTCCCACCAGGCCCAGAGCAGCAGAAAGCACTATCCCTGCCAACCTGATAGCTTTCTTTGACAGAGTAACAAGCCTTGTGGATAGGGGGGAAGCGGTAGACGTGGTATATCTTGACTTCAGTATAGCTTCGGATACTGTCTCGCATGACCTTCTCATGGACAAAGTAGGGAAATGCAACCTAGATGGAGCTACTATAAGGTGGGTGCACAACTGGTTGGAAAACCGTTCCCAGAGAGTAGTTATCAGTGGTTCACAGTCATGCTAGAAAGGCATAACAAGTGGGGTCCCACAGGGATCAGTTCTAGGTCCAGTTCTGTTCAATATCTTCATCAATAATTTAGCTAATGGCATAGAGAATATACTTATAAAGTTTGCCGACGATACCAAGCTGGGAGGGGTTGCAAGTGCTTTGGAGGATAGGATTAAAATTCAAAATGATCTGGGCAAACTGGAGAAATGGTCTGAAGTCAATAGGATGCAATTCAATAAGGACAAATGCAGAGAACTCCACTTAGGAAGGAACAATTGCTTGCACACATACAAAATGGGAAATGACTGCCTAGGAAGGAGTACTGCAGAAAAGGATCTGGGGGTTATAGTGGACCACAAGCTAAATATGAGTCAGCAGTGTAACGCTGTTGCAAAAAAAGCAAACATCATTCTGTGATGTATTAGCAGGAGTGTTGTAATCAAGACACAAGATGCAATTCTTCCGCTCTACTTCGTGCTGATTAGGCCTCAACTGAAGTATGGTGTCCAGTTCTGGGCGCCACATTTCAGGAAAGATGTGGACAAATTGGAGACAGTCCAGAGGAGAGCAACCAAAATGATTCAAGGTCTAGAAAACGACCTATGAGGGAAGATTGAAAAAATTGGGTTTGTTTAGTCTGGAAAAGAGAAGACTGAGGGGGGACATGATAGCAGTTTTCAAATACATAAAAGGTTGTTACAAGGAGGAGGGGGAAAAATTGTTCTTCTTAACCTCTGATGATAGCACAAGAAGCAAAGGGCTTAAATTGCAGCAAGGGCGGTTTAGGTTGGACATTAGGAAAAACTTCTTAACTGTCAGGGTGGTTAAGCACTGGAATAAATTGCCTAGGGAGGCTGTAGAATCTCCATCATTGGAGATTTTTAAGAGCAGGTTGGACAAACACCTGTCAGGGATGGTCTAGATAATACTTAGTCCTGCCTTGAGTGCAGGGGACTGGACTAGATGACCTCTCAAGGTCCCTTCCAGTTCTATGATTCTATCCCTGCCACCCGCCATGTGCTTTGGGAAACAGGATGTCTTCGCCGCACACTGACCATGAGTAATGAGAGCTGTTACTGCAGTGTTGCCTCCAGCACTGAAAAGTGACTCACTCACACGGGAGAATCCCCTTTACTTCCCCCACCACCGCCTCAAAGGCCCCATGTTACAGAGACCCGCCCTTTGGCTGAGGCTCCCTCCAGAACTCACCCACATTGCACTGGGCGCTGGCCAGCTAGGATCGCTCTGAGTGACACCGGGCGCTCAGAGCATGTGGTCCCAAGGCCGGCTATCTGGATCTTCCCCATGGCTGCTCGACATGCAGCCCTCGAGCGGCCCGGCCAGCCCACAAAGGGACACTTGCCAATACAAGAACGGGGTGTGTGGGAGGGTGGCTGGCTGAGAACTTGTCTCCATGATAGTTGCGGGGTAGAACTAGGTGTTAATTTAAATCAATGGAGTTAAACCAACACCAAAGGCCCCAGGGACACGCCTATGAGTGGCTTATTGTGGTTTAAGTTCAGCCTGCTTGTAAGAGATGGAGCTATAATAAATTAACCCACTTCCACACCACAATACAAGCAGCCTTTTACACTGCTGTAACTATTCCTTTCGAGACCCATTCAGGTTATGCCCGCGCAATGCTCTCATGCAGACAAGCCAAGAGAGGGAGCAGTGCCCTCAAGCGGCTTTCTGAAGCATTAACAATACAAACCAGAGCAGCTTATTGGAATAGCCACATTTCTCTCTTGAATGACTCCGTCTCCAAGGCGGCTCCTGGATTCAGAGGCCCAGGAGTCACGCTGCTGAGCCGCAGAACCTCCTTTGCTTCTCCTCCTACCAAGGCAGTAAGAGTTCAGGTCGGCAGATTAAGCCCTGCACTGGCAGAGCAAGTGAGCAGATGCGGTGGGACCAGAACCAGGCTCCAAACACCCTCAGAGCTCGAGAAGGGGAGGGACTGTTCAAAACCTGGCTCTGGGCTTTGCTGCTTGAGCCCATCTTTGCATTTCCCCCCACTCCACCCACGTGCTCTCTCATTCTGCTGGGTTCCTTGGAAAGGGAGCGTGTTCAGCACACAGCGAACTGCCCACACAGCACCAGGTCGATGGGCTCCCTGCAAACAGTCCTGTGGCTCGTCTCCAGGAGGCCAGCAGGCGGCAAGCGTGCACCATTTCAACCTGCCGGCTCGAGTCTGGTACAGCTGGGCCTCGATCCGTGGCGGATTCTCTCTCAAGGGACAAACCAATTGCTCTCGCATGGCAGAGAAGAGAAGCCCCAGTGTTGGGGCTTCCACCCCCTAGTGCAGACCCTGCCCATCTCCCCAGGTGGCCTGGGACAGGAATATTTGCTTTGGATGCCATTTACTGCTGTGGCTTTGGGCTGCTGGCTCTGTGCAGGCAGGGCCATGTGGCCGGGCTCCGTCCCACCAGCCGAGGGCTTGTTAACCTGGATGCCTCCAGTGCAGCGACTACTGAAAGGAAGAACCCCGCCGGTGCCTGAGCAGCAAGCCCCCCTTCCACCAGCCCCTCCTGCCACTGAGCCGACACCATGAGACAAGGGACCAGGCCCTGCCCCAGAGTGCAAAGCAGTGCGAGGGAATGGCCATGGTCCGTGCCAGGATACGCTGCTCTCCCATCTCCTGTCCCGTTTGTGGCTTACCCGCAGCCTCTCACACTGACCGCCCTGCAAAAACTGCTCCTCACGGAGCAAATGCTCTGCTCTCCCGCCCCCTCGGGGCCGGGGCCGGGGCTGGCTCTCAGCGGGTTTCATTCTGTCGGGTCAGGCTGTGCAGATCACAGCAGAGCAGTGGGGGGGGGGGGGGGGGGGGGAGAAGGAGTCCCCAGGCCCCCATGACAGAGCCACTCTTTATTCCTTGACACTCCCCCACCCCCTCCTTGGCCAGCAGTGGAGCATTCCCATCAGGTGGCTGCTGTTTGAGATGAGAAGCACAAATCCCAGCTGTCCTCAGCGCCCAGAGCTGGGTTCCACGTGGGCCACCCTGGGCGCTCAGTAACTGGTCAATCACCTTTCTAAGGTTCTCCTTTAACCCCCTCCCTCCTCTACAGACACCTCTGTGGGGCAGCCCTGACCCACGGCCCTGAGCAGGGCTGGAGCTCAGTCCTTCGAGATTCCAGGGGCCAGCTCAGCCCGAGTTTAACTGGGAGCAACCCCGATCTCAGGAGAGTCTCATCCCCTTACACCAGGGGCTGAACTGCAGCATGTTAATTACAACCCGCCGCGCGTTGGCTTTGGCCTGTCACATCCGTGCTCTGCACAGCGCTCAGCCCCTGGGGAAACCGGAGCCCTCCCCTCTCGCTGGGAGGGGTGCCACCCTGGAGCCCTGGCTCTCTACCTCAGCCTGGGAGTCAGCCATTCCCTTCCCAGGCTTGGGCCCAGTGGAGTCCCCTGACGGCGTAGCGTGACCGGCGCCTTGTGCAATAACACACAACAAGCACCAGCCCCGGAGTTTAATGCTGTTCCTGATTACTCAGAACACATGCCCGCGCCTGGCCCACAGGGTCTCTGCTCCCCTGGGTGCCGACGAGGGAATCCCATGAACGCTGACGAGAGTCGCTAGTGCGTGTGGAGGGCAGCGGCTGCCCTCTTCCTGCTGGGATGATCGTTAATGGTCAGGCCCCTTGCACAAAGCTCTGCCCGCAGTTCCCCCTGTGGAGCCTCCCCAGACCTGTAGAGGGGGGGACTGGCCTCACCGAGAGAAGAATTTCATCCCAAACGTTGAACGGTAAATTGCTGCTCCAGAAATCCACCGCCAGGTAAGTCCCCTCCCGCTGTCAGTGGTGCTACAATCCAAGCCACTCCAGCCGGTGGCAAGGTGCAGACAGAGCCTCACTGGGGTGTGTGGAGCCAAGGTCCAGCGAATGGCAACAGCTCAATCTCCCCCCCAGCAGGCCCCTTGCAGAGTCCAAGACCACTGAGGAGATGAGGAGGCAGCGCTGGAGCAATGAGGGATAAAAAGCCAGCAGGCTAGCGCCAGCCCAGCTCGGCTGAAATGGAGTGGGGCTAGCACCATTTGAATTCAGCCAAGAGGTTTCACGATCTCAAGGAATCTCCTGGCCGCAGAGTGAATCACCGAGCGCCCTTTGGGGGAGGAGGTGGGAGTCCCTCACAGATAGTTGTCTTCCTCCTCCTCCTCCTCCTCCTCATCATCACGAGCCAGGGCCTCGATGTCATGGGTGATGTCCGTGATCATGCGGTTGAAGGACTCCGACTCGGAGCGGAGGGACCAGCTGTCATAGCTGCGCACAGCGGAGGCGGAGGTGTTGCTCATGCTGCGCTTTATCCGCCCAAAGCTGTCGGTCAGGATCCCCCCTTCCCGGATGCCAATGCTCTCCAGGAAGCTCTCGAAGTAGCCGATGTCCTGATCTGGGATGAAGGGCCGCATTCCTGAGGGGACACACAGCCATGAGGCGTGGCCAGGAGCCGGCAGGCGCTTACTGCCCTGGGAAGTGTTCATGTTCCCGGGGGCCAGAGGGGTCGGGGGAGCCCACAGGCCACCCCCTTGGTCTGCATGTTTAAAAGCAGCTCAGTACCAACAGGCTGGCCCAGCAGGTACAAGAGGGGAAGGGGTGTCAAGAGATCCAGCTGCGACTCCCTGATCTGCCCTGGACTCCCTGTGGGACCCGGGCACATCTGTCCATCGCGAGCACTGAGCTGGGTCCTCCTTTCCACAGCATCCACACACCTAGCGCTCCTGAATGGATTTATCCTCACACCCCGTCTGGGAGCACAGGGCTGTCCCCTCCATCGTACAGAGCGGGAACGGAAGCCCAGAGACTTCCCAAAGTCACACCAGCCGGCTGTAGGAAGCTGTCATGACTGCCCTGCAGGGCACGGGGCCCTATCACTGCTTTCAGGATCCTGACAGCATCTTCCACACACCGGGCCCCTTACACAAAATAAGACCTAACAAAGACATGCTCTGCCCTTATTGATGCTGCCTCCCCCGCCCTTATAGACACCGCCTCACACCTAGGGTTGCCAACAATCCAGTTTCCCCGGGAGTCTCCCGGAATTGGGCTCTATCTCCTGGAGGCTACTGAAGCCAATCTGGGAGATTTTAGGTGCTAAAAGTCCAGCAGAACAGCGGGGCTAAGGCAGGCTCCCTACCTGCCCTGGCTCTGCACCGCCCCTGTAAGCAGCCGGCACGTCCCTGCGGCCCCTAAGGGGGCGGGGGAGGGGCAGGGGGACTCTGTACGCTGCCCCCGCCCCGAGCACCGACTCTGGCGCTCCAAGCCCCCACCCCTCCAGGGGCCGCAGGGACGTGCCGGCTGCTTATGGGAGCGATGTGGGGCCAGGGCAGGT